GGAGGCTGAGCAAACACTGAAACTTGGGAGTGGGACAGGAAACCCTTGTGCTCCTGGTGTGGGTGTCTGGTCACTGCTGAACACAGGGGTCAAGCTCCAGGCAATCCCAAGAAGCTCTGCCCAGCTCCTCTGGGCATCAGTGGCATGGGAACCACGCAGCATCACCTAAACACTCACCTCTGGTCCGGCAGGTGAGAGGCTGGCGAGGCCAACACGGGTGCGCTTTGCTGCGGAGATAGCACATCATCTGCTGCAGTGGGAGCCGGGCCACAACCGCCCCAGCAACATCCTCTATGAAGTGGAGCACAAAGTGTGAGTACAGGGATGGGGTGCAAGGGGACTGAGCCCCTGCCTGGGACCTGACACCAACAGAGGTGACAGCATAGTCCTGCCCACACTGCTCTCACCCAGGCACTTCTCCCTGCAGCTATGGCACGAATCAATCCTGGACAGCTATCCCAAACTGCATGAGGATCTCAGGGCACTTCTGCGACCTCACGTACTACACCCTGAACCCTGCCCTGCGCTACTATGCACGAGTCAGGGCTGTGTCTGGAAACCACACATCACCATGGCAAAGGACCAACTCTTTCTCCCCACAAGAAGGTAGGTTGAGTGTCTGCCTCCACTCTATGGTCAGGGGCTGAGAGTATGGCAGAGATCCGGGTGCCAAGCTGCTTAGGAAGACCTCGGGACAGATGGGAGCAGGGATTTCTCTCTTTTCACACCTACCTGGAAGGCAGCCAGGCTGTGGGATGGGATCAAAGCATGGTCAGGTAGCACTGGCTGTGCGAAAGAGTCATGGCTCAGTCCACCGCTGCAAAGGCTTTCAGAGCTGCAAACAGGACAAAGCTTTGATGTGCTCTTCCAACGCACTTGTTTCCAGCCAGCCTGCGCCTGTCAGGCCAGAGCCTCTCTGTGATGGGCAACACCATCCACGTGCAGCTGCAGCTGCTCCTCCGGACGGGGAACCTCACCGTGAAGTACGACGACATCCAGAAGCATGCGAGGCGATACCAGGTGTACGTCAGGAGGGTGCAGGACAATCAGACGGTGAGATGAGCTGCTGGTCTCGTGCTGTCCCCATCTGCCACATGCAGTGCTGCTCAAGTTACAAACACATTTTGAAGTACAGACTTCTGTAAAACTTAGTCTTGAGCTTTGCCACAACATTGCAGAGATCTCTCTGTACGACTTAATGCAGTAGGTTCCCCAGTTCTCGCTGGGATTTTGGGTCTAGCTGGGAACACCCCAAGGGAAGAGTGGAGGAGAAGGGAGGAACACATGGGGCCAGTACTCCTGCAGGAGCTGGGAGCTCTCAGGTACCAGCCCACACTCTGGTCGTTGCAGTATGAAGTGATGGAGACCGCCCCAGAGTTCAACATCAGCAACCTCTTCTGGGACACAGAGTACTGCGTCAGTGTGGAGCGCACCGGCACCACACGCACCGACGAGCAGTGCGTCACCACCGGCCAGAGAGACAGTAAGTGCTGGGGTCCCAGGGAAGGGGGGGGTCTCTCCTGTGGGACAATGGAACCTCCTCAGCCTCCTGGCCCTTGTGCTACGTGCACCAAAGACTCTGCCATGTTCTCTCTTGCAGGGAGTGCAGAGCTTGTCCTGAGCGCCATCAGCTCCTCCTTCATCACCCTCTTGCTCCTGGGGCTCCTGGCAGCTCTGCTGGTGTGCACCTACATAAGGAGACCTATGAGGCCACCATCCGTCCTGGTAAGGCAGCCGGGCACACGGCACCTTTTGCCACTGGTGCAAGGGTGCAGGCTTGGGTAGCTGTTGGGAGAGGCAGACGACAAGCAGGGATGAAGTGCAGCTCACACCCCTCTTTTCTTTCCCTCTCAGAAGTCTTTCATAAAGCAGAGCTCGCTCTGGGTGGAGGAGTCCTCGCCCTCGAGCAGCTCCAGTGCAGACCCCATCCAGCAGCTATTCCTGTGCCAGAAGGAGCCCCATCAGGTCAGTGTCGTCACCAGCAGCACCAGCACAGTCCAGCTGCCCCCGGAGAAGGGCTGGAAGCTCCCAGCATGGCCTGAGGACAAGGTGTGCCTGCTGGGGCCGGGGGCCCTGGGGAGTGGAGACAGCAGCGGCACCAGCACCGACAGTGGCATTTGCCTGCGCACATCCTCCTCGGAACTGAGCTGCTCCTCGGGCGCCGAGCCCCAGGGATACAAGAGGCAACTGCCCACTGGTGATGACAGTGGCGTGGGCTTGGAGAGCGCCTGCCCTCGCCCCACATGCTCCTCTGGGAACACCAACCCCATGGAGGACAGGCAGCCCTGCAGCGGGGAGCTCAGCATCTCCCCTGACACCAGCCAGCAAGACATGGAATTCCGTGGGTACCTGCAGCAGTCCAAGGGCACGGTGGAGCCAAGGCAGGACCCAGCCAAGGGGATGCCCTTCTCGGTCTGTGCAGCATCCCTGCAGGGCCTGGGCAGCACTGACATTGCGCTGGACGTAGAGTGCTCTGAGCTGGCTGTGGTCAAAGGGTATTTGAAGCAATCCTCTCCTGAGCATCCCCACAGCTACACACAGGACCTTGCTCCAAGAGGAGACCCTCAGGATCCCACTGTGTGGAGCATTTCCAGCCAGGTGGGGCCCCAAGCCCCCAGTCTGCTGAGCTATAGGGGTCCAGGTGCTCCCTCAGTCTCCAGAGCCCACCCTGAGCTCCTGAAAGCTCCCTTCGACCTGAGCATCTTCAACACTGACCTCATGGGGACGCTGCCCCTCATCTCCAGCCTCAGCACCAACAAGTGGCTCATGCTGCAACTCAACCCCGTGAGCCTGCTCAATGGGGACAGCAAGGACAGCCGCCTGTGAGCATCCCCACGTGCTGACCCAACTACCTCTTCTAGCCACTGCCCACAGGAGCAGCTACTCTGATAAGCTACCGCAAACCCCTGAAAGTCAGTGCATCAAACTGAGCGGTGCCCTGGTGAAGACCCCCGGGAGAAGCACCAGTCTAGCGACTTCTGGGGCTGCCTCGGCCCTGGCATTGCTGTGCATGGCCAGCCCCCAGCACCTTCCCTCTGGCCAGTCTCTGGTACAAAGCTAAGGAAACACAGGGACGCGCGGTGCTGTAGGGGCTCATACCTGCCTTCTGCAGCCACCAAGCCCAAGGATACACACCAGGATGTTCCCAAGGTGCAACCCTGCTGCATCTGCCCAGCACAGGGCATGTAGCTTCAGGGTACCCTTGAGACCCTGTGTTTTCCCTTCCCACTTCCCCCTTTCACCAGGTTCCTCCAACAGACACCAGCATCAGCCTGACGTCAGGCATCCTGCTGTGGGCAGCACAGAGCTCCCACCCTCACTGGCCTCACTTAGGGGGAGCGAGGGATTTTCCTGACCCTACAGAGACCCTTTAGCATCCAGCCCCTATGACAGAGACCTGGGTGCTGGCTACCTCCAGCAGGGTGCAGGATGTGTTCAGCAACTGCCTTATGAGCCCAGCATGACCCAGGGCAGCCCTGCCTACACTATGGTCCGTGTTCTGCCACTATTGCGTACAGACATTATTTATTCTATTTAATTTGTAAATACAGAAAGGATGTGGTTCATCCAAAGGTATTTTGTCTATTCATCTGTACATCCTCTCCTAAGGTCAAGCTGCGTTTTCTGTTTCCACATATGGACTTTTCCCCCACAGCAAAGAGCAATGTCTCTTTTTTTTCCACATCACAACTGGGAAAAAAGGAGGACAAAGCCAAGTGATGCAGTGTACCCCAGAGGGCAGCAGCTCAGGTACCACACACCAGGGAAGGACAGGAGCACCTCTGGGACAGAACAGAAGCAGTCAAAACAGGGGGATGGGGAGAATAGTTTCTGTCACAATGGAAACAAGTATGAGATGGGAACGACTTACCATGGGCTACATTTCACTACTGCCAGGTCATCAGAGAGTTTTTTCCTCAAGTCACTTGGTTTCCAAGAACTTTCATGGTGGGATAGTCCCATTAAAGTGCTGGTGGAAACCCAGCTCGGGGAGTACATTTTGTCAGGTTAAAACATGAATCACTGCCATCAGAAGGGCGGTTGATGTATTGCTGTTTCCGGCTGTTACGTCTGACGTTGCACTGCTCGCAGTTAAGACACGCTGCCTGTGTCATGCGGGAGGTGGTGGGTGAGCAGCAGCAGCACCACCACCAGTACCAGCCATGGACATCCTCTGCCCTTCCCCTGCCACCATCTCTCCTGTTTCCGGGTATTTCCTTTTTGCTTTCTTTTCGACTTCCTCTTGAAATCGGAGTCACCAAGGGGCAGCACAGCTTTTGTTTTCATTTCAAATGCCCCTGATGTCAGGCTGCAGCCAGGTCCCGTGCAGCACTG